GGGATTGGGAGGTGGAGGCAAGAGGATTGCCTGGTTCAAGACCAGCCCGGGCAACTTGGCGAGACCTCATCTCTACAATAAATCAAAAAAATTAGCTGGGCGTGGTGGCACATGCCTGTAGTTCCAGCTACTTGGAAGGCTGAGGTGGAAGGATAGCCTGAGGCCAGCAGGCTGAGGCTGCAGTGGCTGTGAGCAGTGTGCCACTGCACTCCAGCCTGGGCAACAGAGTGAGACTTGGACTCAAAAAAAAACAAACAAAAAAAGAACCACTGGAAACAAAAGCAGTTGCTTAGAGTCTTACATCTACAGAGCCCTTCTCGTTGCCCTCCCCTTCTTAGAACAACTTTACAACAGTGCCTGGCACAGAGTAGATACTCCACAGTTATTACACAAATAATTGGGTGAATAAATAAGTGAATTTTATGATATAGGAATAATCATCCCATTTTACAGATACAATGACCAAGGGTCAAGTCAGTAATATGACTTGTCCAATTCCTTTTGTGGAATTAGGATTCAGACTCAGGTCTGAAATGGTATTCACACTTTAATGCTAGTCCCTTAGAAATTTTGAACTTGTAATGGAAGTTTGGGATTGCATGTGTTATGGGCCCAGCAGAGGAAGTCGACAGGAAACTCACAGCAGCAATGGATACCTCAACCATATCTGGCTCTATGAGCCAGTCCTCAGCTTTTGCATATTTTGCTGTTAACTGCCAGTACCTGCAGATAACCCTCAGACACTGGAGAGCTGGAAGTATCTTGGAGTTTTGTGTTTCACACCATTTTACAACCCTGTGTAGACACAAGACAGGCTGATGTGGAGTACCAAAGCCCAGCTCCTTTGCACTGAGGCAGGATAAACTGTGAGGAGTGTTCTTTGTTCTAGAGCTCCTCATGTGAGCAGGCAGAGTGCAGGGCTTCTGAAATCACATTCCCATTTTGCTTCTGCCCATTCTCTGTCCTTCAGTCCCCAATCCCGTGTGTGTGTGTGTGTGTGTGTGTGTGTGTGTGTGTGTGTGTGTGTGTGTTTCCCTAGGAGCCCATTCTTAATAAGTCATTTGCATCCAACTCCTTAGCTCAGGGCCTGTTTCTGCAAGGTCTTTCTGACTCTTCAGGTAATAAAAACAACTTGCAGACTTGCAGATAGCTGAGAATACTATCTTTGAATGTTTTCTGTTGCTGCAACAGCACACCTGAGACTGGGTAATTTATAAAGAAAAGAAAGTTCTTTCTTATGGTTCTGGAGGTTGGCAAGTCCATGACTGAGGGGCCGCATCTGGTTGGCTTCTGGTGAGGACTTTGTACTGTGTCATAACATGGTTGAAGGTATCACAGGACAAGAAGGACACACAAGAGAGAGCCAAACTGACTTTTATCATTAACCTATTCTCATGATAACTCGTTAATTCGTTAACCCATGAATCAGGTCTTAAAGTGTCCACCTCTTAATATTGCAACATTGAGTATTAAGTGTCCACGTGAGTTTCAGAGGGCACAAATGCTCAAACCGTAGCAGAAAACTAGAACACGACTTCAGATTGTGTGGTAGCAAAAGTTCTCTCTGTTTTTTTAGTGAAAACAGAAAAAAGAGGAAGTGGTCCGTGGGGGGAGGGGAAGACTGCTTACCACTGAGGACTTTAGTTGGGCCTGTATGTTTTACCAAAGAGAGATAGATATCACCTCAGTTTCATAGACTTTGTAATAATCATCTATGTTGTGGAGGACCAAAGAAGATGAATTACTGCATCCAACTAACGAGAGGAGATGTATAGAGTTGAGTGCATAATAAGTGCTTGATACATGCTCAACTGTTATTTTTAATTATATATACTAGTTTTTTCTGTCATCTTTTCTTGTCACTCTCCAAAATATCAGAAAAATATTTACGCATAAGGTTTCCAATCAAGGTACTCACAGATACTTTATTATAGCAAATATTATTTATTATTTAAGACATTTAAGACCAAATGTTCATCTTCAATTTTTTTCTAAAAGTCTAGATTCCAGAGAAAGACACAGTTATTTTTTGCCCCAAAACCCAACTAATCTGCATGTATGCCCTTAATTGCTATTCTTTCCTTCCAAATAAGGCACTTTAATTTCAGAGATTCACCTCTGTATTATTTTTTTTTTACTTTGATATGCTATCACTCTGTGCCATCAGCCAACAGAGCAGCTTCTTATAAAATAGCTCTGTTGAATGACATGTAATAGAGGGTTCCTTACTATTTAACACAATGGGTCTTAATCTTGGCTGCACATTAGAACTATCTAGAGATTTTTAAAAATAGCATTGACACCTGGACTCTACACATAGAGATTATGATTTAGTTTATCTGAATTGGAGACTGGAAAGCTATTTTTTAATAATCTACAGGTGATTTCTGTTTGCAGCCAGGTGAAAGGCTAATAAATGGTCTAGGTAAGAGTGGCATAATTTGAAATATATTTGCTCTTTGTATTCTTGTCAGAAGATCCTAAAAGCCTTGAGATTTCCTGACTGATAGAAGTGTCTTTTTTATTCATAATATGCCCATTTGGTAAGTCCTGAACTATCTAGTTATCTAGGTTGTGGCCCTACATTGCCTCAGGATGGGCCCAGTCAGTAGAAAGACCAAGTGATCAGAGAATTAGCGGGATGGAAGTTTCAATCCAACTCATTAATCTTTGGGAAGGTGGTGGGGAGCTGGAGTTCAAGTTCCATAAAACTCTTGAAAAACAGAATTTGCTGTTTGCTGAACGTGTGGAGATGGGGTGTGGCATATACCTGAAGAGGATATGGAAGCTTACCACCTCTGCCCCTTATACCTTGCCCTATTTCTCTCTTAAGCTGGTTATTCATCTGTATCTTTGTAGTATTTTTTTTTTTTTTTTGAGTTGGAGTCTCTCTCTGTCACCCAGGCTGGAATGCAGTGGCACAGTCACAGCTACCATAGCCTCTACCTGCCGGGCTCATGTGATCCTTCTGCCTCAGCCTCCCAAGTAGCTGGGACTCCAGGCACACATCACCATGCCTGGCTAATTTTTTTTGGTTTTTGTAGAAATAAGGTCTCACCGAGTTGCCCAGGCTGGTCTTGAACCCCCTGGGCTCAGGCAGTCCTCTTGCCTCTGCCTCCCAAAGTGCTGGGATTACAGACATGAGCCACTGCGCCCAGTCTTGTAGCATCTTTTGTAATAAAATGGTAAACATTAAGTGTTTTCTCAAGTTCTATGGCTGTCCTCGTAAATTAATCAACTTAAGGAGGGGGTCATGGGAACCCTGGTTTCTAGCCGGTCCGTCAGAAGTATAGGTGACAACCTGCTGCTTGTGATTGGCATCTGAACTGGAGGGCAGTCTTGTGGGACTGAGCCCTCAACCTGTGGGATCTGACACTACCTCCAGGTAGATAGCATCAGAATCGAGTTGAATTATAGGATACCCAGTCGGTATCCATTGGAGATTGCTTGGTGTTCTTAAATTAAATTTAGTCTAAAGCTACCTCCTTACATATTTTAACTTTGGTATAAAGGTTTCTCCATAATGTAACTGGATATGTAAATAAACCGTAACCTACCTTTGTACCAGAGTTTCAACCAACCATAGGCAGCCAACTGTTCAAATAAGGCAAATACCAAGCTGCAACCAATCCAGCTGTTTTTGTATCTCACTTCCGTTTTCTGTATATCACTTGCCTTTAACTGTCCATAACTTATCCGATCATGTGGCAGCTCCAGAGTCGCTCTGAACTTAATTCTGTTTCTGGAAACTGCCTGAAGCATGAATTTTTTTCTCTGTTAAATTTAATCTGTCTAAAGTTTTTAACAGTGTGTGAGGGGGGAAAACCCTACACAACTGGTCACAAAAGTGATCTGTGCTGAGTGTGAGAGTAGAAGGAAAAAACAAATTGTTTTTCTTTCGGAATGTCATTCTTCAATTTGTTCAGTTGAGTTTCTGCAAGTCTTCCCTCAGGTATCCAGTTTGGCATTGCACAGACCTGTCATGCTTCTACACATCCTGACCTCATGCCTGGAAACCCCAGGCCCTATCCACCAATAACAGCTCAGGCAAATGGGTTTCCTAACTCCCTGCTAAAGTTTTTGTTGTTCCTTGAACAACAAAATTTCCTTCCTGTCACCAAGTCCTTTGGGCATACCTATGCTATATTCTTAGCAGGATATACTTTGTTTGAGTATATGTCTGCCCCTCCACAAAACTGAGCAAATTGAGAGCAATGTTGTGTTTTATTTATCTCGTCAGTACCTAGCACTAGCTAACACAAATTCTTGGTCAAATAAACAAAACTACAAAGCTGTTCATCACACTATGCCTTGAAATTTTAAAATCTATTCTTTTTCACTCCAAGTGCAATTGGCTCTCAGTACCTGTGGGCTCCTCATTCAAACAACCACAGATCAAAGACATTTGAGAAAAAAGAAAAAAAAGATGGTTGTGTCTGTACTGAACATGTAGATTTTGTCATTATCCCCTAAACAATATAACAACTATTTTCATAGCATTTACATTGTACTAGGCATTATAAGTGATCTAGAGATGATTTAAAGTATACAGGATTAAGTAGATTATATGCAAATACGCCATTTTATATAAGGGAACTGAATATCTGTGAATTTTGGTATCCGAGGGGAAGCATCCTGGAACCAATCTCTCATGGATACTGAGTGATGACTGTGTACCTATTGCTTGCTAAAACATTACATCTTCCAGATACTTTTGCTCCCGCTTAGGGTCTGCATATTCCTCATATCTTGGCCCACAGCAAAGAACTTTGGCTAAAATAGAGAAGCTTGGTCTCCCAGTAGGTAGCTGTGTCACTCTAAGTCATTTAACTTTTCTGGGCATCAGATTCCTCATCTATAAAATGCAGATAACTAAGACCCTTTCCATGGTAAGCTAAACCCTATGTACAAGGGGTTCACACTCTTAACCAAGTGGCACTTGAAGACTGTTCCCCTCTTTGAAAACAAAGAGGAGGAGTAATATATAAGGAAAAAACACATCAAGCTTTATGAATGGTTTAATTATTGAAACAAAAACGAGATCAAAATTTGTGCAACCATGTCTGTCTTTAACAGATTTAAGAGATAAATATGAATTTTGTTTCATTCATTATAACGAATTTCTAATAATCTAACACTTACATTTCTACAAGCACAGTAAGCAAATTGGAAATTAACTTGAACATGCATAACTATCCTAATTATCAAGCTTCACATGCAGAAGAGACTGAAGAATTCAGATTTAACCAAGATGTTGATGTTAGGCATGAGAATTCTCTCCTCCCCACTTCTAAGTTGTTAGTTCCTCTAGTGCAACCTGACAGATACCACCGATCCAAAGTAGAACTAAAAGATGATGTCTGTGTTAACATCACTATAACTTCCTAAATTTTGTGTATAAAGTATACAAGTGTATATTTTGATATCATTATTAAAAAGAAAGAAAAGAGGATTTGGAATTAGTCCAGATCAAATGAGGCCTCTTCAAATCTGAAAAGAAAATAAAAGAAAAAGATTAGCAAATGAATTCATTTTATTTGGATTAGAGATCTCATCTAAACTTCTGTTGGAGGTGACTTTTTATTTATTTTTATTTATTTATTTTGAGTCAGAGTCTCACTCTGCTACCCAGGCTGGAGTGTAGTGGCACGCTCTCAGTCACTGCAGCCTTGACCTGCTGGGCTTGCATGATCCTTCTGCCTCAGCCTTCCAAATAGCTAGAACCATAGGCATGTGCTATCTTGCCTGGCTAATTTTTTTATTTTAGTTTAATTAATTTCTTTTTTTTGAATTGGAGTCTCACTCCTCACCCAGGTTGGAGTGCAGTGGCACGCATGCTCATGGCCATCCCAGCGTCGACTCTCTGGGCTCCAGTGATCCTTCCGCCTCAGCCTTCCAAGTGGCCAGAACTGCAGAAACACGCTACCACGCCCAGCTATTTTAAATTTTATTGTAGAGACAAGGTCTCGCCAATTTTCCCTGGTTGGTATTGAACACACAGGCTCAGGCAATCCACTCACCTCGGCCTCCCAAAGTGCTGGGATTATAGGCTGAGCCACTGAGCCCAGCCAATTTTTTTATTTTATTGTAGAGATGAGGTCTCACCATGTTGCTCAGGCTGGTCTTGAACTCCTGAGCACAGGCAATCCTCTCGCCTCCACCTCCCAAAGTGCTGGGATTACAGGCATGAGCCACCACACCCGGCCAAAGATGAATTTATTTATTTATTTATTTTTGAGTTGGAGTCTCACTCTGTCGCCCAGACTGGAGTGCAGTGGCCGTTCCCGGCCACCGCAGCCTTGACCTGCTGGGCTCCGGCGATCCTTCCGCCTCAGCCTTCCAAGCAGCTGGAATTACAGGCATGTACTACCACATCTGGCTGATTTTTTGATTTATTGTAGAGATGAGGTCTCGCTGCCCAGGCGGGTCTCGAACCCACGGGCTCAGGCAATCCACTCACCTCAGCCTCCCAAAGGCGCGGGATTACAGGCTGAGCCACCGAGCCCGGCAAGATGAATTTTTAAAAAGAATTGCAGATAATTCTCCAAACCCATCACAAAGAGCATTTTCCATTAGTTTATCCTACTGGCGCTCCCAAGGCCTTAGTATGACATTTTGGTCAATGAGGTACTATATATACAACAGTGGTCCTATAAGATTATACCGTATTTTTACTGTACCTTTTCTATGTCTAGATACACACCATTGTGTTACAGTCATCTACAGTATCAGTATAGTAATATGCTGTACAGGTTTGTAGCCTAGGAGCAAACCTAGGTGTGTAGTAGGCTCTACCATCTAGGTTTGTGAACGTACACTCTATGAAGTTTGCACAACGATGAAATTTCTTTTTTTTTTTTTTTTTTGAGTTGGAGTCTCACTCTATCTCTCAGGCTGGAGTGCAGTGGCACACTCATGACCACCCCAATGTCAACCTGCTGGGCTCAGGCGATCCTTCCGCTTCAACCTTCCAAGTAGCTGGAACTACAGGCACCCACTACCACACCTGGCTAATTTTTTGATTTACTGTAGAGATGAGGTCTTGCTAAGTTGCCCAGGCTGTTCTCGAACCCATGGACTCAGGCAATCCCCTCACCTCGGCCTCCCAAAGTGCTGGGGTTATAGGCTTGAGCCACCACACCAGCCAATGATGAAATTTCTAAAGATTCATTTCTCAGAACATGTCCCTGTCATTAAGTGACACATGACTGTATTAGACCACTGTCCTGGTTCTATCATTTAGTAACTGTGTGACTGGGAAGATCACCCAACTTCTCCAGTGCTCTCTAAAATCAATTTCCCTATTTCAGAATATAACAAGAGATGTGAATGTGTTTTCATCATCAAGGTAGTAGAATTTCATCAAAAAGCTGGATTTTATAACTCTGGATTCCAACTGAAGATGCAGAGAAGTACAAGTTCCTACCTCTTGAATGCTTCTAGAGCTCCTTGTAAATACATTTATTATAATATCTTTTTTTTTTTTTTTTTTGAGTTGAAGTCTCACTCTGTCGCCCAGACTAGAGTGCAGTGGCATGATCCTGGCCACCGCAGCCTCGACCTGCTGGGCTCTGGCGATCCTTCCGCTCAGCCTTCCAAGTAGCTGGAACTACTGGCAAGCGCCACCACGCCCAGCTAATTTTTTGATGTATTGTAGAGATGAGGTCTCGCCAAGTTGCCCAGGCGGGTCTCGAACCTGCGGGCTCAGGCAATCCACTCACCTCAGCCTCCCAAAGCACGGGATTCCAGGCTGAGCCACCAAGTCCAGCCTATTATAATACCTTTACATCAATTTACAACAACTTGTTTCCATTTCCCTCTTCTAGTGGTCTGAGAGCCTCTCAAAGGTAAACACGATGCCAACACAGGAATGGGACATATGCAGATCTGTGTCACTCCTTTCCTCTGGCTAAAGAACAAAAGCAACCGCTATGCAAAGGAAGAGAGTGGTTCATTTTTTAATGTCCTTCTCACAGCAGAGATGTCCAACGTGAAAATGGCAGAAGAAAGATCAAAGCCTTCCAGGTGGTGTGGGTACCTAGCGGCCTTTATCCTGCCATACCACACTGAAGCTCTTCTGCCTTCCCTGTAGTGTCAGTAATGCTGGCAGGGCTACACCTGGGGCCACACATCTTCTTCATGCCACTCCACAGGACAAGGGAATAGGACCTCACATGATTTTTCTTTGCCTACTGTAATGCTACTCTAATTAATGGACTCCACACAGTGAGGGTTATCGTGCTAGAGCTGTTTATAAATAGTCCCTAGGATGGTGAAACAAAAAAAGACATTTTCTTAAGGTCAAAAACCCACCTCTGCAACAATGCTGGTTACATGTTTGGATCTATAAAAAAGACAATGGGGAAAGAAAAAGGAAAACATTAAGTTTTATTTTTAAAATACCGTGCGTTAACTAACATATCAAACTGTTAGAAATAAGGTTGGCAGAACAGGCTGCTGTTCCTAACCATGAATACCTCGTTTAGAACTACCCAGTAGGAAGCAGCCCTGCCTACTACCCACAGATATCAACCCAACCAGGGAGTACTGGAGAAGTCTGGGATTATAGAGTGCTGGTGTATCAGGACTATCTGACAAAGGCCTGTGCCTTCCTGAGATGCTCATTGGTGCCAGGTTTCCATGAGGCTTCCAGAAAAGCCAGTTGGTAAGAAATGTTGGGAGTGTGGGTGTGTTCATGCAAGTGTTGATGCTGCTCCCTGCTCTTACTGCAGGGAAACTTCTTGTTCAGGGACCATGGTGTCATGCTGTGCAGAGGTCTCAGCAGATGCCACTAATCAGTTCTTCCTTTTTTTTTTTTTTTTTTGAGTTGGGGGTCTCTCACTCAATTATCCAGGCTGGAGAGCAGTGGCACGATCACAGCTCACTGCAGCCTCAACCTCCTAAGCCCAGGCAATTCTTCCACCTCAGCCTCCTGAGTAGCTGGGACTACAGGTGCACACCACCACGCCTAGCTCATTTTTTTTTTTAATGTTTTGTAGAGATGAGGTCTCACTATGTTGCCCATGCTGGTTTCAAACTCCTGGGTTCAAGTGATTCTCTTGCTTCAGCCTCCCAAAGGGTTGGGTCTATAAGCATTAGCCACCGCACCCAGCCACTAATCAGGCCTTTAAGAACATTCCCTGGCAAACCCAGTATGCACATTTCTTATATCAACGCAGCTCTATGCTATGGTTCTACTAAGAAACAACTTTTAGCAGCTTAGGAAAGAACTTAAAACTTACCCCACTTAACTGTCTTGGGTTGTAGAAGAGTGATGTGCTTCACACGGCAGGTATATTCATCTTTGTCAGAAGGGGTAAACTCACTGTGGGTCAGGAGATAGAAGGACCAATCTTTGCTGAAAGCCAAGTCTGACTGTTCCACCTCCATCTTCTCTCCATTCTTCAACAGGTCAACCTCAATCTCGGGTGGATGAAACCCAGATACATAGCAATTCAAGAAATTGGTCTTCCCATTCTCTGCTGGGTAACGTGAGTAAAGCTGAACCTTTGGAGGACCTGAGGAACATCAGGAAAAGACTAATGAATATTGCTAGAATATTTCACTTGGAGCTAACTGGGTCTCAAGCTAGATCAGGTACCATGTATTTACATTTAATCTGTTTCTCCCAATTCCATTTCCACTCTGGCCAGTCAAATAAGCTTCCACATTCCCAAAAGGCTACCTTCATTTTGAGGAATAAACCATGATTTAGTATCTTTTCTACATAATTCCTCTCTGTATGCCCTTTTGTTTTCTTTTCTAGCAGTATTTTCTTCTGTCACTGGAGATTATGCTGAATTTTGGAGAACTTTTTCTGGAGGCTCTTAAGAACCTCTGAAGGCTTCTCAAGCACTCATAGAATTCCTTACCACATCACTAAAGGGTCTACAGGACTTGGCCCCAAGCTATATTTCAAACTTCATTTCTCACTTCAAATACTCTCCATAGTAGCCACATCAGATTACTCGTGTTATTGTACCCTGCATCAGCTCCTTTGATTTTTTTTCTTACTTTTACTCCTTTCTTTTTGGTTCCTATATCTGCCTAGATTTACAGCCATCTGACTTTTTAATATGTATTAAGTGTCTAGTACAGTGCCTGACATGTAGCAATTGCTCTATACGTAGCAGATATTGTTATTATTATTACCTCCTTGCTCAGATTCCTAAGTGGATCAACCCAAGGTATGTTCTTACCAAACCAGCACAACCTCTTTATTTCTGCCCAGAGTTTATATGCCAGATCTCTATCTGATTTCATACCTGATTTCATGAGCTAGAAAACAAAGAAACAACACCCAAATGCACATGGGACCTAGCAAATACCTTACATGATTGAGTTGGGCTGGATAAAATACAATAGGAAGAAGTGAGGACTATGGCAAATGAGAAAAACATACTCTCCATTTAGACCAAATGGAGTAATGTATGTGACAGTGGGATTTGCATTTTATTTATATTTATTTAATAATTTTTTTGGTCAGAGTCTCACTCTGTCGCCCAGGCTGGAATACAGTGGCACACTTATCGCCACTGTATCCTTGACCTGCTGGGCTCAGGTGATCCTTCCTCCTCAGCCTTCCAAGTAACTGTAATTACAGACACAAGCCACCATGCCCACTAATTTTTTGATTTATTGTAGAGATGAAGTCTCACCAAGTTGACCAGGCTGGTCTTGAACCCGTGGACTCAGGTAATCCTCTCATCTCGGCTTCCCAAAGTGCTGGGATTATGGGTGTGAGACACTACATCCGGCCGAGATTTGTATTTAAATTAGCACCCACAGGTAATTGCTGTAACTAGGCAGGTTGGGAATACATTGCCTATTACTACAGAACAGGACTTTCCAAAATGGGATGCATGACTTGACCATCCATGGGGAAGTGGAAAGAAAATATTATAAATTCTATTTCTATATTTTTCATCCAAAATAAAGAGAAGTGTTACTGCTACTAAAATGTGGATTGGCACTAATACATGAGTACAAAATTCATTTAAATATACATATATTCAGGGTACTTGATCAGTAAAGAGAAGCTACTCCTCCAAGACTGGGAGGTAGTGGGAAGGAGAGTACCAGGACACTTTGACCATGGATCTTTCTCGAAAACCCTATCATCATGAAAGGTCACTAGCCCCATCAAGAGCTGGAATGGAGATCTTAATGAATCTTTGATTTTTCCCCCCCATAAAGTTAAAAGTAAAAATAAAACAGATAACTCTTTGCATATGAACTTCTAATAATAAGAACATAATAAATGCCACAGGGGTCAGAGCACAGGTTCATCCTGCCTGGAATTCTCTCTTTGAGGAAAGAAAGTTGGATTTTGCAAGAACACCACTGTAATCTTTTCTAAGAGGATGAGTATCAGATAGGCTGGGTTTGAATTTGGGCTCAACCAATTACTGCTCTGTGACTTCTGAAAGCATTATTTATGCTTCTGAAGCTTAACTAAAAAACTAATTGATGCCCATAGTAAAACAAAACCCACACACAAGACAGAAGGGACAAAGACCTCCAGAGGCAATCACCAATACAGGTTTCTTGTGTATCTTCCAGGAGTAGTCCATGTATGGCACGTATTACTTTGAAATTTTCAAAATAAGATTTTTCATGTTTTGTTTTTTAAGTCAGGGTCTCACTCTGTTGCCCAAGCTGGAATGCAGTGGCACGATCATGGCTCACTGCAGCCTCGACCTCCTGGGCTCAGATAATCCTTTTGCCTCAGTCTCCCAAGTAGCTGTGACTACAGGTACATGCCACTACACCTGGCTAATTTTTAAAAAATTTTTTATAGAGACAAGGTCTCACTATGTTACCCGGGCTGGTCTCAAACTCCTGGGCTCAAGCAGTTCTCCCACTTTGGCCTCCCAAAGTGCTGGGATTGCAGGTGTGAGCCACCGTGCCTGGCCAAAATAAGATTTTTTAAAATATCAGATTGTTGGCTGGGCTCAGTGGTTCAGCCTATAATCCCAACACTTTGGGAGGCCAAGGCGAGTGGTCTGCCTGAGTCTGCGGTTTGAGACCAGCCTGGGTAACTTGGCAAGACCTCGTCTCTACAATAAATAAAAAATTAGTTGGGCGTGGTAGAGAGCGCCTGTAGTTCCGGCTACTTGGAAGGCTGAAGCAGAAGGATCACTGCAGCCCAGTAGGTCAATGCTGGAGTGGCTGTGAATATGCCACGGCACTCCAGTCTGGGTGACATAGTGAGACTCCAACTCAGAAAAAAAGAAAAACACACACACACACACACACACCAGATTGTTATTTTTTAACACAGCATCTAATGTCACCAGCAAACATCAGTATGGTGATGATATGTACATTATTCCTTATTTTGTAAATGCATTAAAATTAAACACCATTTTCACATTATCAAAAGACTACTTTACAGGAATTTTGTGAAGGGAAAGAAGGAGAGGGCCCACTATATTGCCAGGTAATTAGAAAGTGCTCAAGATCTTTGGTGTCCTCGACCCAACTTGGATTGAATCTCATCTGTAAGGTGAGGAGCCTGAAAAACAAGGATAACAGCCAAAAGGCCTACGCTTCCGCAGAAGGCCCTGATCAGGCTCGATTTCAATCCTGATTGTTGCCATTTATCCCGAGTAATTAAGTTTGTTAAAATCCCAGTGCCTCAGTTTCCTCATCTGTGAGATGCGGATGATAACCAAAGTATTTTCATCCTAGGTGCATTTTCAAAATTAAATGACATAAAACCCGTAAAGTCCTTTGCACACCGTAAGCTGTCAACAACAGGTAGCTCTTCTGATGATCAGAAGTGACATGTAACGGGAACAAATGAGTTAATGATTCGAAAGTGCCTTGCAACACCGCAAAGCATTCAACAAACGTCGTGTGCCGCTTCCTCGCCATAGTTTGGTCGCACATGGATCCGGAGGTGCCCCGGGCAGAACGACCTCAGCGGGCGCCCAGACGAAGCCAACAGTCCTCCTGCTCTGAGGCGAGCCGAGTTCCCCGGGCGGTGCCTCCCCCAGACCCTAGACACCCGACTCCTCCTCAGGCCGCCACTCGCGCCTTGGGGACTGGCCTCCCCGCCCTGTCCTCTGGCGCTCCGGAAGCCAGAGGCCCCGCGCAAGAGGGAAGAGAAACCCTCCCCCACCTCGGCCGCTCCGAAGTTTATCAACGCCCTAACCTTTGTCTCGAACCTCTGCCCCCGCAAGCCAGAGAGCTCCCTCGCTCCCCGTGGGAAGAGGCAAGACGCTGGCGTCCCAGGCTCACACCCCCTCCCCACTCCCACGCCACACCACCGTTTCGAGACCGAGCCCTGGACTGGACCCCCGGCCGGGAAGGAGAACTTGGCCGGGACGGTGGGGAGGGCGGGGGGAGCGTCACAGAGCGCGGAGAGAGCCAGGAGGGTAGTGGAACGGGAGAGGAAGGGCTAGCGGGTGAGGGGAGACTCACGCTGGACAGCGTCCAGGCCAAGCAGAGACAGAAGCACCAGCAGGGCCAAGGCCACGGGGCGAGACATCGCGAACACAGCTCGGTCCACAGCAGAAAAGCGCTCCCGACTCGGCGCGCCCACTTATATTCCACGCGCACCCCGCCAATCAGGGCCCGGCCAGCGGGGAGCGTCACCCGTCTCCAAGTGCGCCGCCCCTGGCCAGGTTAGAGAGGGGGACTTTCCTGTTTTCGGTTTCCTTTTCTTATAAAATCTCGTGATGCTTAGGAAGGCGGGCCTGGACCGAGTGGGTTTGCTGTCTGTAATTCGGTGCGCTCGGATCTGGAGTGCGCGCCGGAGCTTGGGGTTCCCGGCCCTCATCCTAGGATTTCAGGCTCAGAGCGCCTTCATCGGCGTCTTTGCTTTGCAAACTGGCCCCAGAGATGCTAAATGACTTGGTGCCCTCGCCTGTTAAGAGCCTAGGACTTGCGGTTTGCATTCGAGAAAACGGAAACCCAGAAAAAATTGAGAGCGTTGAAATGTGCCTGGCGGAACGAGGACTTCGGTGTATAACTATAACCCTGGAATATACTTCAGGGTTTCCCGATTCTGTGGGCAAGAAAAACGGTCCCAGGAACCTTAAGGCTACCTGAGGACAGTTCAGAAAACCACCCAGAGCAAATGAGGATCTTTCATGCTTCTTGAACTCCAGGAAAAAGTTTCTTTTTGGAATGTTCTGTCCTAGGAAGTTCCTCCCGTTGTTTAGGTAATTTTCTTTGTGCTGTCGATCTGTGGGGAAAAGCGACTACTGGCCGGCCGCGGTGCCTCAAGCCTGTAATTCCAGCACTTTGGGAGGCCGAGGCGAGAGAATTGTCTGAGTCCAGGGGTTTCAGACCAGCCTGGGCAACTTGGCGAGATCTCGTCTCTACAATAATGAAAAAAAAAAGAATGGAAAAGAAAAGCTACCACTGGTAGCAGAAGCAGTAACTGTTTTACTAGAGCTTTAGAATTTCCAGAGCCCTTCGAGTTGATCATTCCCTTAGAGTTACCACCCTAGAGTGGGCTTGCGGCATAGTAGGTACTTGGTATGAATGAATGCATGAATACATGAGTAAATTCTAGGAGGTAAGAAATACTCCATTCCTTTTATGGATAGGGAAAACAAAGGCTAAGACAGTAGGATTCAAACTCTGGCCTGATTCTGTCAGCATGCGTTAGACACTGGGAGACAAAAGGCTTGGCAATTTTAATGAGAGTTTGAACTTCATTTGCCGTGGGCCCAGACTAAGAACGTTAAGCACACTGACTCTAAGAGTGAGACAGTGTCAGGCAAACTCACTAAGAAAACCTACACTCTAAAGATACCATAAATAAGGCCGGGCACTGTGGCTCATCCTGTAATCCCAGCACTTTGGGAAACCGAGGCAAGAGGATTGCCTGAGCCCGGGGGTTCGAGACCAGTCTGGGCAACTTGGTGAGACCGCGTCTCTACAATAAATCAAAATATAAGCTGGGCCTGGTGGTGTGCGTCTGTAGTTCCTTTCAGCCACTTGGAAGGCTGAGGCGGAAGGATCGCCTGAGCCCAGCAGGTCGAGGCTGCAGTAGCCGTGTGAGCATGCCACCGCACTCCAGCCTGGGCTACAAAAGTGAGACTCCAACTCAAAAAAAAAAAAAAGGTACCATAAACAAAGTGCTGCCATGTTGTGGCTACTAAGTCACTGTAATGACTCAGTCTTTTCTGGGTGAAACAGTGAGAAGAGGAAGTAATAGCGTTAGTGTTGCCCTGTCCCATGGATACAGGGAGAGGAGGCAAAGATTTTGGAAATCACCAGGGTTTTCAGTTAAAAAGAGTGGCTGTACTTCCCCTAAGAAACATAACAAATACCTTCTGGGTTTCTTTTACTATTTTTAGACTTTTAATAATCCCTATTGTGGAGGCCTTGTCTAAACTAGAGAAAACAGAATACACTCCATTTGACCTAATGAAATAAGATAACGCACCCAGAGAGCCTCCCACAGTACCTAGCACATAGTAAGTGTCCTATAGTGTTTAATAAGCATATAATTATAATTATTTACCTAGTTTTTCTACCAGCCCCCTTTCTATAACTCTGAAATATAAGCATAATTGTTATGCATGAAGTTATGAGCTAAAACACTCCTGTTGTTTTTTTTTTCTAAACTCACTGAAGGCCCTTAAAGCCTGAAATGTGAATGTTGAATTTTACTTGAAAGCATTAGTGTTGAGTTGTACTAGAAGAGTACCTTAGGAGTATGGAAAGAGACAAGGCTGTTTTTTGCCTCTAGTTCCTTGTTTACTACATCACAGAGAAATACTAAATTTAAAATTCATTAAAGAGATTCTATTTCATTTTAAAAACTAATTTTAAAAGCAATGAAAGAAAACAGTGAAGACAGAGAAAAGGCTGCTTATCCATTTTCTTTTTCTTTTTCTTTTTTTTTAGTCAGAGGTCACTGTCATCCAGGCTGGAGTACAGTAGCACAATCAAAGCTCACTGCAGCTCCTGCCTCCTGGGCTTTGGTGATCCTCCTGCCTCAGTTTCCCAAGTAACTGGGACTTCAGGTACATGCCACTGCACCTGACTAATTTTTTGATTTTATATAGAGACAAGTCTCACTGCATTGCATAGGCTGGACTCAAACTTTTGGGCTCAAGCATTCCTCCCACCTCAGCCTCCCAAAGTTCTGAGATTCAGGCATGAGCCACCACACCTGGCCCACTTTTCCAGTTTTCTATGTGTGGGGGAACTCTTGTATTTTTCTTGGATTTACCATTTATGACATATTTTGAAATCAGAATGAAAACTAAATGAACTTTTTTTTTTTTTTGAGTTGGAGTCTCACTCTGTCGCCCAGACTGAAGTGCAGTGGCCGCTCCCGGCCAGCA